ACACCATTGGTTTCAGCATCACGTGAGGATGAGGAGTTGACATGGGGTGTGGAGAAGCTGCTGGAATTTTTTTTCAGGACTGGCTGGACTTCCTCCTAAGCGAGCTGCAGATCATAGGATAGAGCCGCTTCCTGGATCTACCCCACCTGGATCTACAAGTGCAGTGGAGCTGGAGTTGAAGAAGCAGTTAGAGGACCTGTTAGCCAAGGAATTCATTCAGCCTAGTTCCTCTCCATACGCTTCTCCGGTGCTGTTCGTGCGGAAGAAGGATGGTTCTTTGCGGATGTGTGTAGATTACCGCGGACTCAACAAGATAACAGTGACACCCACTGCCACAGATAGATGAGCTGTTTGAGCAAGTTGGTGAGGCACGGTACTTCTCGAAGCTGGATCTATTTTCAGGGTATCATCAGGTGCGGATTCGAGTGAGGACATCCCAAAAACAGCATTCCGAACACGGTACGGTCATTATGAGTTTCGTGTGTTGCCCTTTGGTCTCACCAACGCTCCAGCCACCTTCCAAGGCATGATGCAGTTTAGCGATTTCATTGACAAGTTTCTGGTGGTTTTCATTGATGGCTTGCTGGTTTACGGTCGCACTCGTGACCCTAAACCTGAAACACCTTGAGCTGGTCCTTGCACGTCTGAGTGAGCACAGATTGTATGCCAAGCGCTCCAAGTGTGAGTTTGCCAAAACGAAGCAGTCATTTCTGGGTCATGTCATCTCTCAGGGGAAGCTGGAGGTAGACAACAGCAAGGTAGCAGTGCTGAAGCAGTGGAAGCAGCCGAGTACAGTGAAGGAGGTGCAGGCGTTCTTGGGGTTAGATAACTACTACCGGCGGATTGTGAAGGGGTTTGCAGCAGTGGCAGCACCTCTGACCAATCTCTTACCGATCGTGAGGAAGCTGAGCTGCAGCCAATAGCCTTTGAGTCACGCAAGCTCACTGCTGCAGAGCGCACATACCCCATTCAGGAGAGAGAGGCACTTGCTGTGGTGCATGCACTGAAGAAGTGGCGCTGTTATGTAGAGATGCAGCCCGTCATGGTCTTCAATGATCACAGAACACTGGAGTAACTGAAAACACAGTCACAGATCACACCACGGCAGGCGCGATGGGTTCAGTTTCTGGAGCAGTATGCCCCCAACCTTCAGATCGTGTACAAACCAGGGCGCTTCAATCCAGCGGATGTTCTGTCACGGCCAGCAGCAGAGGAGCTGGATGTCATGGGTGTGGTTATATGGGACCGCAACTTCATCACTCGTTTCAGGCGGGGTTACAACCGTGATCAGCTGTACCAACAGAAAGCCCCCCATGACCCATCCTTTCTTTTCAGCAATTCTTTTTGGACCCGTGCAGATTCTGGTGCTGTTGTGTACCCGATGACTCCAGGCTTCGCTTGCTGCTACTACACGAGTACCATGACAACCGGTCACACTTCGGCAGTGACGACGTATGCTGCCATTTCCCATGACTACTACTGGCATGGACTGTCCCGGAGTGTAGCAGAGTATGTTTCTTCATGTCCTACCTGTCAGGTCAACAAGGCTCGCACCACTGCACCGGCAAGTCTGCTGCAACCATTGGAGATACCCACAGCCCCCTGGACTTGTGTTTCTCTGGATTTTATCACGGATCTACCACGCACCCCTACAGGCTTTGATAGCATCCTCGTGGTGGTTGACAAGCTGTCCAAGATGGCTCACTTCATCCCTACAACTGGCACAGTGACTGCTGCTGAAACTGCCAAGCTGTTTTTCACACACGTGGTGAGGCTACACGGACTTCCCTCAGCCATAATCAGTGACAGAGACACACAGTTTCTCAGCAACTTCTGGACTGCACTGTTTCAGCTGCTGGGCACACAGATTCGACTCTCTACAGCCTAACACCCTGAAACTGACGGTCAGACAGAGCGCATGAACAGAACCCTGGAGGATGCGCTACGCTCGTGTGTGAATGCCATGCAAACTGACTGGGATCAGCACTTGGCAGCAGAGGAGCTTGCTTACAACAGCAGCACCAACATTGCAGCGGGAGAGCCACCATTTCTCTTAGCTGGACAGCTACCATGCTCAGTCACATCCCTCCCTCACCCTCTTCAGTCCCCTAACCCCACAGCAGCAGATTTCATCTCTTCTCATCACCGCATTCTTCAACTTGCCCGAAGGAAGCTTCAGCTTGCACAAGAGCGCCAAGTTCGCTGTGCCAACCAGAATAGGCGTCACACCACTTTCAAAGTTGGTGATTTGGTGCTGCTTTCAACGGCTAACCTGCCTCTGCAGAATGCTGGAACTTCTCGCAAGCTCGCACCCAGATTCGTTGGACCATTCCCCATCACCAAAGTTCTCTCACAGGTCAGCTACCACCTTCAACTCCCTTCTCACATGACCATACACCCTGTTTTCCACATTCACCTTCTTCGTCCTTACCGTACTCCCTCTCACCCATTCCAGCCCCGCCCACCCATGTTCTCTGCCCATCCGGACCTGCATGAGGTCGACACCATTCTTTCACACCGTGACACTCCTGTTGGCCGTGAATACCTCATTCACTGGTGCAACACCTCAGCATCTGAAGACTCATGGGAGCCGTTCTCCAACCTCAGCCATGCTCCTCGTGCCATTGGAGTCTATCTTGCCTCATTGGCACCGAGGACGGTGCCTTCAGGGAGGGGAGGTAATGTAACAAGTGGGGGCTGCACTGGAGGCAGCGTGGAGCGCACGGGAGGTAGTGACATGCAGCAGCTGCGTGCAGCTGCAAACGTGGGCAGCAAGGGGGCGGAAGTGTGCAGGACGTGGGGGACCCACGTGAGGAGGACGAAACACAGGTTTCGTGCCTTGACGGACTTGGGGGACTGTTGCGTGGGACAGGTGGCGGAAGTCCAGAATTGAAGGACTAGGAATGTTACACGTGTGCAATTGCAGTGAGTTGTACAAATTGTAAATAGAAGGTAGAATGCGGCTCGATGTCAGGGCTGGCCACCCGAATCGGCATTCCGAGCCGCATGTCAGGAAGTGTCAAGTACAGTAGCATAAAAATACATTCGTAGGATAGAGAGAGTAGCTTTGCTGTTTTTCTTTCTCTTTGTTGGTCCTTTATTTTAATGAGAATCCTTTGGTGAATCTCTCAGCCAGAAACACTAGAACAAGCCCAAGAGCCGTTGAGCTTGTTCCAGCTAGGCTGTGGTCGAGGCCGACTTGGAGGAGCAAGTCGGCTTGGTTGGTCGACCTCGGTGGAGCCGACTTCGGTAAAGGCGAACTTTGCGAAGCCAACGTCCGCGAACGGCAAAACCAACTTCGTCATCTGGCATGCAAGGAGTGCAGCCGGCTGGGCTTCTTGGACGGCGCCGACTTGCAGGAGCAAGTCGGCTGGTCTGGTTGGCCGACTCTGGTAGAGCCGACTTCAACGAAGCCGACTTTGGTGAAGCCAACAATAGTGAAGCCGGCCACAGCGAAGTCGACCTCGATGACGCCGACGAAGTCGGTGAACGGTGGATCTTGGCGGTCGGCATCGGTAACCGCCGACATGGCGCCAACGTACATCGAAGTTGGCGCTAACTTGGGGCTTCTCTAGTTGCCCAAGTAACCAGAGCGATGAAGTTACGCGGGGGTGATCGAACGTCGGCCAGGAGGTTTTTGCGAAGCCAACCTACGTGCTGGTAGCACGAGGTCAATGTGGCACATCTGTCGTAACTTTCGGCACGTCGCCGAATTGGCACTCGTGCAATGTGCGTAATGGTGCATGACGTCCAGCACCCGCGAAGTAGGTGTACGCATGTGCGCTGTAGTTACCTACGGTTGCAACGCTGGCAAGCCACCTTGGTGCAGCTTGACAAGCCGCCCTGGTTCATTGCTAACAGGTCGCCGATTTGCAGTGTTGGCTAGATCGTCCCAGTTGCGTTGGCATGCCACCGACTTGCCGTGCAGACAAGCCGCCCTTGTGCTGCGCTAGAGGTTGATCTGCCAGCCTGCGAGGCTTCCTAGGTCCCAGATGTAGTTACCATTGCCATTCCCTTTTTGCAACATTTTCCTCCAACTTTATTAGTGAAACCCTTGCGAATTTGCCCTGTGAATGCGCAAGTAGAGAGAACACGAGCAAACGCCATGATCTCTATTAACAGCCATGCTTCCCCCGTGGTCCAGATCCCAGTGTAGAGTGACTCTCCGCACGGTCACCGCAGAAGGACATAAGAATCCCTGCAAAGAATTCGATATAGAAAACAACGTTTTCATATTCATGGTTTAGAACTCCAAGACATGTGTATGTCGAGAAATAAATATGCGGAGGGGAGTATGTCCACATCAAGGTTCGCATTTCCTGGCCTTGATCTTCACTTGGTCCGGAATGCACACTCTGGTGGCTTTGACGAGCTTATCGATGCAATCGTACCCGTTGACCCGCCTGTAACACCCTTTGATTCCACGAAAGTACTTGACCTGCAGGCCCGTGCAGCAGTCGCCAGTCCCAACCACGTACGCACGAGTCTTGGGGCACACTCCTTGCATGAAGCTGAACGAGCTGCCTATGCACGCCTGCACTTGCCATGTGAATTAGGTGTGTGTAAGGGGGGAGGGCGGGGGGAAAGGAGGGGAGGGGAGCAAGGCATGGGGGTAGTAAGGTAGGTAGGTAGGAGGGTAGGTTGATGCTAGGTAGGTAGGAAGGTAGGTAGGCAGGCAGATAAGTAGGTAGGTAGGTAGGTAGGCAGGTAGGTAGGTAGGTAGGTACGTAGGTAGGTAGGTAGGTACGTAGGTAGGTAGGTAAGTAGCTGCAAAGAGTCGCATGTCGATGGAGGGGAGGGAGGCTCAAGGAGGTGTTAGAATGCTGACAGTGCAACACAGACAGCTCTGAGGGGCAAATTTGAGGTGCAGAGTGGATGTGTGGAGGAAAGATGTGGAATGAATGAAGGTGTCGAGGTGTAGAAGGGAGGGGTGGAGTGAGACCCAAGCAACAATGGAAGCAGCGCTAGGTGTGAACCTAGGTGGAAACTCAAGTGCAAGGCTAGGGTCTGGTAGCACTGAGGAAATTAGAGGCAGGAGGATAGGGGCAATGAGGTGGGGGGAAATGGTGCAGGGATGGAGAGGGGGAAGGGGGGAGAAAGTGGAAGGACGAAGAGGGAGAGAAAGGGGAAAGGAGGGCGATGGGGGGGAGAAGGTGGTGTGGAGGAAGGGGTGAGGGAGAGCAGACGGAGACCTCGAAGCCTGTGAGGCTGCCGACGTCAGTCTTGGGCACGAGGCGGCTGCACTTGATGCCGGGGTTGAGGCGGAAGAACTCGAGAGGGGAGAGCGGCGGGGAGGGCACGGAGCGGATCTGGTCGCACGTCTCCCCGGCCTGCACCAGATAGAACTGCGAGCACACCGGGATGAGCAGCGCCGCTGCACTCTCCGCCCGCCGCTCCACACACGCTGCCTGGCTGCCCACCAGCTCCCCGCTGCCGGAACAGTCCAGCCCGGGGTTGAGTGCCTGGAATGCTGCTGCGCAGGGCTCGGTGGGAGTGGGGCAGCCGGCTGTGAGGGAGAAGTAGGTGGCTAGCGACTCACATGTGTCACCCTGGGGGGATGGGAGGGAGGGGGGGAGAGGAGAAGTGGGGAGAATGGGGAAGGAGAACAGAGGATGAGAGGCAAGGACGAAAGTGTCGCCCTAGGGGGATGGGAAGGAGGGGGGGAGGACAAGAGGGGGGGAAGGAGGGAGATTATGAGAGGAGATGAGAGGGTGGGGGACACGGGGTGGGGGCGAGGGGAGAAAACAAAATGCTGAAACAAAGAAGTGAAGAACAAGGAAGAGCACAGAGAAAGCAACAAGACACGGCTCACTGCAGGCCGGGGAAGCAGCAGCAGGAGAGAGGCAGAAGGAGAGAGGGAGGGAGAAAATTGAAGGGGATGGAGGGAGGGAGGGAGGGAAGGAGAGAGAATAGTGAAGCGGATGGAGGGAGGAGGGAGGGATTGAGGGAGGGGGGAGGGAGGGAGGGAGGGAGGGAGGGAGGGAGGGAGGGAGAAAGAGAGGGAGAGGAATGGGTGGAGGACGAGAGAGGGGGGAATGCGGACGGAGGGAGGCAGGGGAGAAAGGGGGAAGGTGGGACCTGGGACGTGGTGCAGTAAACGGAGCAGGGCGCGAGGTCAGCTGGCTGGACCACGTTCACCACCGTGCCGACAAGAAGAGGAGTGCTGCAGCTCAAACCCTACAAAGAAGGGGGAGGGGACATGGGAGGGTAGGGCGAGGCGATGGGAGAGGGAATGCGGGAGGCACAGTGTGGTTGGTCAGTGAGGGTAAGACATGTGGAGAGTGGGCAGAGATTTACAAGAATGTGAGGAGGAGGCTCAAGAAGCAGCAGGAATGCAAGGGAGTGGGCGTGGGTCTCACTGGGTTGTGGGCGTGGAAGGAGCCTCACGGGGTTCTGAGCTTGCAGCTGGGCGAGAGTGAGGCTGTAGACGGGGTGGATGTTGGCACACGTGACACCCCACGACTCCACCGTGTATGTGCTGCTGGAGTCGCCTGTGCAAAGGCATTGGTGTGGATGGAGTGGAGTAGGTAGGAATGGGTGCAGGTTGTAGAGCCAATGTCAAATGCGCAATGTGATACCAGCATGCCAATGAGTAATGTGTTGGCATAGCAATACACTTCGTGGGTGGATAGCCTGAGCAATGAGAAGTCTGGAGAAGCACCTGGGGTGCAAGAGAGTAAGGTTACCTGGACCACAGGAGTAGGTACCATCAACAGTGGTGCCCTGCCTGAAGCCCGGGGGGCACACACACGAGTACGACCCCTTGCCATCATTCACACACGTGCCCACCGCACATGGATTGTGTACCGCCGCCCTGCACGCGTCCTCTGGGAAAAAAAACAAGAGATGAAAGACACAGCCAATAGGAGCATCCTTTAAGGCGACTGAGAGATGGTACTATCGCTGCAGCCAAGTGAGCATCGTGGCATGGTGGTCACCATCACTAGTCCACTGAATACTGACAAATGACAGGAAGGAGAAAGGAGAGAGTGCTCACTGTAAACTCAGGGGAGAGTTCTTACTGTAAGCACAGAGGAACGCACTCACTGTAAGCACAGGTGCGAGACTTGTCCAGTTGAACCGCCTCCACGAATCGCGGGTCGTTGCAGTCACAGTTATTTGTACTTAACACCTGTACATTACTTTCTAGTTAATCGATTGTACTTTTTTTAAGAAGCACTCACTGAAAGCATAGGGGGGGGGTACTCACTGTAAGCACAGGTGCGAGAGTTGTCCTGTTGAAGTGCCTCGATGAATCGTGGGTCGTTGCAGTCACAGTGGTTGCTGGCCCCATCAGGCGTGGGCGTGCACGTGAAGTTGCCACAGGGGTTGAAGAGCGGCCCAAACACCCCACTGGTGGTGCCGTTGACGTTGCAGGGGTCCTTGGCAGCGCGCACCACCGGGTAGATCCCAGGCAGCGTGTTGATCCCACACACGCCGTCGCCCCCCTGGATGTCCATCCGCATGTGCCCGCCGTCGCCCCACTCCGGGCCCCATGAGTTGCGGATGATCCAGAAGGGCGGCGCCATGTGCGGGAAGGTGGGGTCTGAGCCGGTGAGGCGATAGCCCACCAGCAGCACCACGTGGTTCAGGTTGTACGTGAAGCACGAGGGGTCCGCGTACTTGGATAGCTGGGGGAGAAGGGGGTTGAGGGAATTTAGGGGCGCATGGGTATGGAAGGAGTTGGTGTGTGCGTGGATGCGTGCGTGCATATGTGTGTGTGTGTGTGTGTGTGTGTGTGTGTGTGTGTGTGTGTGTGTGTGTGCATCCGTAAGTGTATGCGTGTGTGTGTATCAATGAGTGATTGTGCTCACCCCATCGTATTTGAGGAAGGAGGGGGCGGTGGCCTGCACATGCACCACCACGGGCTGTCGCTGCACGGCCAGCAGCAGCCCAAACCAGCCATGGAACGCCGTGCGCTCAAAACCGTCTACTCTGAACGGCCCCCCTGATGGCTTGCTCTGCCGTTGGGGCGGGGGAGGATGGGTTAGGTAGGAGTGGTAGGGGAAGAGGAGTGTGTGAGAGGGGTAGGTAGGGCAGTGGGAGTGTAGGAGGTGGGGTAGGGTAGAAGGGGTGGAATAGGAGGGGTAGGGGTGAAGGGGTAGGTGTTGTGCCTATGAACTTTAGTGGCATAGCCGTCACACTCCCATTTAGCCTACAAGTCTGCTCACCCTCTGAAAACCAGTGAAAAAGTGCTTCACCAAGATCTCAATGTTATTGAGCCGTTGCAATTGTTGCGTACCAAGTATGTCCCAGTGGGTAGTTTCTCGCCTTAGTCTAGGTTGTGGGTTCAACTCTCAGCATCTCACTTTTCCTTCTCGTTATGCTCACCATGACATTTTCATAATCCACCACACTCACCCACAGTAAAGTGTGGTCACAGTTGGCATTGCCACCCCTATGGCATTCACTAATCCCATGCTCACCTTGCGGACCCCTATGGTGTGCCATATGCTGCCACGTGAGCTGTTGTTCCAGCCTGGTTGACATGTGCAACATGAGGCCTCACTTGCTAACTTGGTAAGGTTGGCTAGCCTTGCTCTCAGCTTTGAGGTGCTGCAACTAGCCTAAAGAGTTCAGCCATACATATGTGTTTTCCTAGTTAACTCAAACCCATGCTTGGACAACGATATTGCTCTAGTCTTTAAGGCTTGTACCATCTTCCTGCTAAGGATTTTGTTTTTTATCATTGATCCATTTTCTACAACAGTATACAGCAGATGATAACAAGTTTAATTACCGGACTGATTGCATTTAATAAATCTGTGTTACACAATTTTGTATCACCCGAGTTCACCATTTTGAGGGCTAACTCATTTGCCAATCTCTGGTTGGTCTTAATAATTGGGGAGAGCTCTTTGTCACATGTACAGTACATGTCGTCTCGAAGTTCATAGCAACCCAACATCATAGCAGCATGTGATAGCTCTCGAAAGGCACTGTTTCATGGTCATGTTGCACTGTTGGCAACATTGCTATTGCCACCTTCTCATTGTTGTCATTCCAATGGTGGGGTCAGAGAGTGAGATAAGGGGTAGAGGGGCACTAAGGGGGGGGGGGGGGACGGGGAAGGGTTAAATGGGATTTTGGGTAACACCTTAGTGCAATTGCATGTCTGTACCCCTCCTGAATCAATACAAAGGACCGTTTGAGATAAGAGGTACAGGTGGTCAAGTGTACTTCCTTGAAGGAGCTTTCCGAATGGTGCAAGTGGGAGGGGGAGCTGACTCATGGTTGGTTTGAGTCACAATTTTTCAGCATTACAACTCACAAGTGTGGTTGGTTTGCTGATGAAGCTACAATGCTTCTCATCCGTTTCTAGTCTTGCTACAAATCAATCTTGTAAAGTTCCCCGGATGATTCGAACCCTTTTAAATTCTGATAAGCAAATTCGTACTCACCTTATCCCCAGTATCAATGAAACGCATGCTCACACTGAACGATAGACAGGAGTGATGCACATGATCAGGAGTGATACCTGGCTTTGGTAGACAAATAACATGTGGCAATGATCAGTACATGTGAGAAACCGAAATGGTGATAACGAAGCACCTTATGGGATAATGGATGATAAGTACCTGAATTGAAATCGTAGAAGCGATTAAGGCAACAAAAGTTACATACCTTTCCTGGGGTTCGGCCTTTGCCGCAGGAGATCCCAAGCGCTTGCGCGAGCAGAGCAAAGACGGGCATGCCGCAGAGTGGGCTCTGGCTGCTTCTCTTCTTGCCCCCCCTCCCTCTTATCACCACCCCAGCCCCATCCTCCGCGAGCCCCACTTTTCTCTTGGCGTTGAGAGTGACGAGGTACTGGAAGGCCTGGGAGGGTGAGTTGCCCTGTGAGCATGAGGAGCCGAGGGCTTCACGCAGCTGGGAGACAGAGAGGAGCGGCACGGCGGAGAGGTTGAAGAGAATGGTGTAGGCCACTTCTACGCTGCCCACCACCGCGTACGCCCAGCAGTCGCCTAGGAGGGGCAAGGCGGGGAGTGGAAGAGTGGAAAGTCTGAAGAGGTGAGAGGTTAAAGCGGGCTACTGTGCTGCCCATGAATATGTTCGCAGCATTTAGCTTAGATAGAAAAGGGGAAAGGGGCAGGAGGTAGGATGGAGGAGGTAGGCAGAAACGGATCGGGATAATGAGAAGGGTAGGAGAGAAGAAGCCAAAGCAGCCCTTTTCCCACCACAAGCATCCTAAAAATGCCCACTCTATCATGCTCCCTCACGCCCTCTCCCATTCCATCCTATCAGATCACATCCCATCCCATCCCATCCCATCCCATCCCATCCCATCCCATTCCATCCCGTCCCATCCCATCCCATCCGGTCCCATCCCGTCCCATCGTGTCCCATCACATCCCATCCCACCCTATCGGTTCCCCTCCCTCCCTACCCATCCCCATGCCGGTGCCCTCACCGCAGGCGCCCTGGTTCTGGACGGGCCACGGCAGCCCCTGGTCGGCCCAGGAGAACGCCTGGTTTACCACCCACACCTCCTCGTCGCCCTCTCCGCCTCCCCCTCCCCCTCCTCCTGCTGGCTGCACTGCCTGCACGCTCACACTTGCGTAACGGAAAAACAGGTTCGCCCCCACTGGTGATAGTGATGCCTCGCTGAGCTGGAACCCAAATTGCTGGCCTGGAGGAGGGGAAACATGGCATGGAGGGGAAAGGAGAGGGAAGGGGATGGTGAGGTAGTGTTGGGTAGGGTAGGGTGGGGTGGGGTAGGGCAGCGTAGAATAGGGTGGGAGTGGGGTAAGTTAGGGTCCGAGAATGCTGGAATATTTTTTATATAGTGGAAAGAAGCCCATGGATGAAGAGGTAGTTAATGTGGTGGGGAAAAGAAGCAGGAGGATTAGAAGAGGGGCAAAAGGAAGATTGGTGGTGGACTAGGTGGGAAAATGAAAAGAGGACTTGGGAGAAGATCGGAGGGGTGAATTGTGGGAGAATTGGGGTGACGATTTGGACGAGCAAAGGGTGACTGGAAGGAAGACAACCAAGCAACCTAAAAGAAAGGGTGCTATATTATAACATGCATGTGCTAGAATAGGTGTAGGGTTGTTAGGTGTACCTCCAACCAAAATCTATGGTTGGAGCTTGGTTGGTTTGCCGACAATTGTTGGACCTGTAATGACTTTGGTTCGAACCCACCCAACAATTATTGGAGCCCCAATAATGCTGGTCCAATCAAAGCAGATATTATTGGGACCTCCGATAATAGCTGAGTTGGCCAGGCTCATCCATCTATGAGTCTCTCCACCTAGTATACCTTGGCTCATTCAAGCCTAAGATAATACATTTTCTTCTTTTTTCACTGGTCATACCATGAAGAGTGGTTGATTCCGGGAGACCTGAAAAGAGAGAGGGAGACAAGCAGAGAGAGAGAGAGAGAGAGAGAGAGAGAGAGAGAGAGAGAGAGAGAGAGAGAGAGAGAGAGAGAGAGAGAGAGAGAGAGAAGTGAAGTGAGGCACAGCGGATGGATGAACAAATAGACCCCAAAAAGCGTGAAGGGGAGCAGATTGAGCTCGTGGCATCAGGGAGCAGAAGAGAACAGCAAGAAGCAGCAGCGAGCAGAAGAACATGGCAGGGGCCAACAGGAAGGGAGCATCAGGAGCATGGGGAGCAGCAGCACGGACCTGTGGTGATGTTTCAGGTGAGGATGGAGTGCTGCTGAGGGGAGTCAGAGGGGGAAGCAGTGAAGCCCATGAAAAACGATTCCTCGGCTGCACTGGGCTGCAGGAACTCGCACAGCGACACCTGCATCGCCACCACTGCCTTGCCCGGCCGGGGGGACGCCTTAGCCGATAGAAACACTCGCAGCCACCCCGAGCCGCCGCTGCTGCTGCTGCTGTCATAGCCATCACCAGCACCAGCAGAGGAAGGAGAGGGGTCGAAGACGATCCAGGCGTGCTTTTGCTTGCCGTCGTTGAGAGTGAAGGGCGCTTTGGCAGTTGCGATGGAAGAGGTGTTGCCCCTCACACTGAATCCCACGTGGCTCTTGTCTGGGTCGTTGGCGTCGGTGCTTCTGGCCATATCAAACTCCGCGGCTATGCTGTGCTCATCCATGCCTGCATAACCTAAGCTGCCACCGCCACCACTGCCGTTGCTGCTGCCACTGCTACCGCCCGTAGCAGAGTCACTGGCGGAAATCACAAACGCAAAACCTTCCCCTGCATCTCCCGCAGCTGTGGCTGGCAGTGGCTGGTTTGAGAATGGAGAAGGAGAAATAGACGGTGAAGGCCAATGGGCGGCCGCAATCACCAGCCTTGAGAGCAAAAGAGAAGAGTCGGACGGGGAGCTTGAAAAACGCTGCGCCCCATGTGTCGGGCTGTGAGGCTGTGAGTGTGATGCGACCGTTGCTTGCCAGTATTGCTCCCCCCTTTACTGCTGTCTGTGCTGCTATTGGCTGCACGGTTACTGGGCCACCCACCTGGCCTGCTGGTGCGAGGGGGCGAGGGAGTGAGGGCAGGCAGAAATGGAAGGGAACGGCATGCATGGGCATGCAAAAATGGAGTGGAAAGGAGTGGACAGAGAAGGCTGTGGATGGATCGCCAGACTTTCAGAGATCGAGGCATGCCACAGAACACATACCACACACACGACCCACACCACCCTCACTCTCTCCAATTGTCTGTCCCTCATCTTCCCCTCCCTGCACTCACTTCCAGGCACGCAGCTTCCAGGCAGCTCCCCATTGACAAATCCGGGGTTGCAGTCACACGTGGGCACTCTGTTCGGCCCGTCCGCATAGCACAAGCCATGCCCGCCACATGGGGGATCGGCAGCACTCATGCCGCAAAACACATCACAGAGCACTTCTGGCCGCTGCACCGCTGCATCCGCAGCAGAGGGCGTGGCGGGTGTAGGGCAGGAGTAGCCTTGGGTGGGGGTTTGGAGGCAGTTGAAGCGGAAGGAGATGGAACGTTCAGAGCAGTTGGGCGGGGAGGTAAAGCCAGAGGAGAGGTAGTTGTTGTCGAGATCATAGATGGTGAGGTTTGCTGGGATGGGCTGCAGTACGGGGCCTGTCAGCTGGTTGTTGCGCAGGTTTCTGGGAAAAGGGGAGGGAAAGGAGTAGATGAGAGGAGGGGGAAAGACGAAAGCGGTGAATGGTCCTTTGGGAGGGGAGGTAAAGCAGGGAGGGGAGGAGAAGAGAGGGGATGGAGGGATAAGGCTGGGTGCGAAATGGGAGGAAATGTTTGGAATAGAGGGGGATGTGCAGCGCTGAGCAATTTCAAGTTCTTACTAGCAGTTCCATAACGGCACAGGGTAAGGTATGATGTGCTGACTTTGAGACGTCTCAAAGGTGGATAGAAGGAGAGAATTGGCAGTCGAAAAAGACCAGGATAGCGGCAAGCAAACATGGGCTTTAAGCAACATAGAGATGAGATTAGTCAGCACATAGATTAGTCGGCACTGGGGGAGCTGGGGTGGGGGAGAGGTGGAGGGAGGGATGTGGGGAGTAGTGGATGGGGTGATGTGGGACGGACGCACAGGAGAGTGAGGCGAACAAGGCCGGTGAGCTGAGTGGGGATGGTTCCATGCAGACGGTTGTTGCTCAGGTCACTGCAGGGAGAGAAAGATTGAGGAGAGCCGCTCGAGAGAATTATGTGAGATCGGAGATTTGATAAGGAGGATTGGACGGAAGTGACGGAAGCAAGTCTTTGATTGTAGCTAGCTACACTTGTTTTCCACTCAATCAGCAAAGGCCGGAACTCCTTAGCAAATGCACATCCAGCATAGAATCTTCAAAGGAAAAACTAGTGTTGTGCAAGTAGACATCTGTACATACGTACATGCTCAATGCTGGTTAGGAAAGACAATGTTTTGTGGCACGAGGCATGCAGGTCACTCACATGGGTCAGCTGCGCGCATCACTCACATTTCTTGCCTTGCGTAGGTCACTGCGCGCATGACTCACATGGCTTCCATTTTCAACAGCCCTCCGAGAAGAGTGGGCAGGGTGCCGCTGATCTGGTTGCAGCAGAGGTTGCTGCAGGGGTGCAGGCAGAGGGAGAGGGAGGGATTTGGGCCATAATTCCGAAATGGAATGCTGTAGTGGGGCCTGAATGGGGGCCTTTGAGTATGGGAGAGTAAGAAGATGAAAACTGGAGAAGAAGAGCAGTGGGTATATAGGGCGTGGGCAGTGCGTGAGGGTTGGTGGTGCACTGACATGGCTTCGAGGTTGGCGAGTTTGGAGTACTCAGCGGGTATGGAGCCGGTTAACTCGTTGCCACTCAGATTGCTGCCATCCACAAGGTGGCGGCCAGGGGGAATGGGGAGAGAGGGCGGGAAGGCAGGGGGAAAGGAAGGCGGAAGAGAAGAGGGAAAAGATTGGGGACGTAAAGTGGGAAGGATGGGGGTATGAATTCGGAGTGGGGGCCACAAGAAATTCCAAATAAAGGAGAGGCTGCGACAAGAGAGAACGCCACTCACCTTGTGTACCTATTGTAGATGCGTGCCCAAGCAGGTTGCATCGAGTACAATGGACCACTTGAAAATAATGGATTTAAGGAAACGCATGCTACATGCAGAGCCTCGTATCGGACGTGTTTTTATGAGGTTTTCAGGAGAAGAGGAAAGGGAGGGCAGAAGAGAGGGCAGAGGTGCAGTGCAGCACTGACAGGGCCTTGAGGGTAGTTATGCTGACGATGCTGGTTGGAAGAGGGCCGGTCAGGTCGTTGTGGCTCAGATCGCTGGGTGTGAAGGCAGAGAGGGTTGGATTGGAGGGGTGTGGTGTTAGGCAAAATGAAATGAAAGCGACGTGTCGGGACAAAAGGAAGATGGTGGGTGGGTGGGAGCGGTGGGTATGCCCACTTAGCAGCAGGCATTCGTGTGGCGTGACATGGTGAAGATGGATTGAGAAATCACCACCTGTTTGGACTTGGCTGGGATGGCATGACATGATACATGGCAGCAGAAGCAGCAGTGAGTGGGCGTACAGGCTGGTGATGGCATCTAGATATCTAATCCTTGAAGGCACTTCTCCTGATAGCTGGTTGTAACTCAGGTCCCCGCCGTGCCGTGCACATGCAGGGCGGCAAGGGAGAAAGGGAGGGTCAAAGGGGAAGGGATGGGACAGATAGGATGTAATGCATTGGAATAGGGAGATCAAGAGAAGGAGAATGATGACAAACGAGGTACCAGGAGGGATAGGAGTTTTACAGCAAAGCACTAGGATGCACCCCAGCTTGCAGTTGTTCATGCTTGCACATGCAAACGCGGGGTGGGGGTATGCAGATGAGCACGTGGAATAGGCATATGAACTTGCGAAAAATAGCTACGAATGTGTAGGAAGGTACAACACAAGTGCAGTGCACTAGTACTGGGGAGGCCCATGTGCAGCTGCATACAGTTATGCTTGTGAATTTCTAGCTTGACAGAATGGCACACCATCGCATGGAATGGTACGTGTGTGCTTCATTGTACAACAACTTGCATTGCAAGCATTGCTACGCACACAAATTGTACGGCTCCAATTGCTCGCTTGGTTTTTCTTGTGTGTGTATCTGTCTGGTTATGCGGGCTGTTGCAGAATACACTGTGTACATGTGATGCAAGAGGTGGGATGCAGTGCAAGCGGTTGAATGCTTACAGTTTCTGCAGATTTTCATTCCACACAATAAAATTTGCTGGAACAGAACCCGTGAGAAGATTGTTGGAAAGAGATCTGAAGAATGAAGCAGAGAGGCAGGGGAACAGAGCGACACAGCAGTGGAGAGACTGCGGAGATAACTACTACAACGGGAGCTAGACTACGGGCTAGGCACGGGTGCTCGTGTGATCTCTGCGTTCTTTGGTCCTTAGTCGTTTTCCACACTACTTGCTAGTTCACGGGGCAAGTTGGCAAGAGTTTCACTAGAGAAAGTTGACAACAATGGTACAAAGAAGTTGGCATGGCAAGACTACATCAGAGCTAGCATTCAGGTCGGTCGACTGCCAGCACAGCATGGTCGACCGCGTTCTAGCACGACTTGGTCTACCGCGCTCCAGCAGTGCAAAGTCGACGGCGTGCCAACAATGCAGGTTGACGGCGTGCCAGCGTTTCTCCCGCAGTACAGCATCGCACCAGCTTCGCAGGTGCTCGCAGATGATTGGCGTGCTGAGCCTCGTCACCTGCACAGCGCACACACCAAGTCAACCTGGCACTGACGACTGCATCTGATCAGCCACGTCGACCTCGGGATACCACCAACGAGGTCGGACTCGCCAACTTCGCCTGGGCGACCGTCGCACTCCTCCGCAGGACTTCGTCACCCAGGTAACCTGGTCGACCGGGCAACCATGTCGACCAGCTGCTCCTGTATGTGCCCGTCGACGACCACCCCAAGTCGACCTCACCAGGTCGACCACACCCCTGGTCGACCAGCTCCAGGTCGACGTCCCTCCTGGTCGACCAGCTCTACGTCGACCAGCACAGTCGTCAGCCGACCACCCAAGTCGGCTACCCGAAGTCGGCGTCACCAAGTCGACGCCCTCCGCAGGTCGACTTCCTAGGTCAACCCCCCTGAAGTCGGCGCCAACTTCCGGGCCGACCTCTTGAAGTCGGCGACCTCCCAAGTCGGCGACCTTGCAAGTCGGTGACCTTGCAAGTCGGTGACCTTGCAAGTCGGTGACCTTGCAAGTCGGTGACCTTGCAAGTCGGTGACCTTGCAAGGCGGCGCCGACTTCTAGGTCGACGTGCCACATCGCCGACCACCAGTTGAAGTCGGCCGCCGGCTTCCCAAGTCGGCGGCATTGCAGTGGCCCCGTGCAAGTCGACCAACCCCGTCGACCACTGCTGCAAGTCGGCTGTACCTCCCGTACACCCAACCACGAGGTCGGCTCCGCCCAAGCGAGGACGGGGCCAACAACAACTCCCGTTGACAGAGACAAGGCAGAGAGACGGAGCATTGGAACGAGGGGCAGCAGGTTGACACGAGTGGGACACGAGAAGAGGCAAAATGTATACAGATGGAAACACATTCACTTGGTGTGAAATATGCTGCAAATAATATTTCCAGTGTGCAAGAAAGACCATTCATTGCCTTCCGCCACAGGGAAAGATGAGAGGGATGGTGGTGCTGCTAGGGGTCTAGTGAAGGGAGAGAATGTGAAGTGCAGCGAGCAAAGGGATTGCATTGAGGGGAGGGCATACAGCTGCTCAAGATAAGTTAAGGCGGACGGAACGAGCGTGCCCGACAGACGGTTGAAGCTCAGGTTTCTGTGAGGAGAGAGGGAGAGGGAGGAAAGAAAAGAGAGAATGAAGGAGGGGGTGGGAAGGTGTGTTTGGGCGAGGATTAGAAGGGGGCATACGGGGGTTCGCTTATTCGAGTCGGTGGATAACCTGGCAAGGCAGTGGAAAGGGACGGAGGAAGATGTACCACGGTCTGAATACACGAGGACAACAACACATGGGGACATGAGAGCATGGGGACCATGAGGGCACGAGGGGCATGAGGGCATGAGGGCATGAGGGAATAAGTACTATGAGGAGCATGAAGACACCACATGAGTAATCACCAAAGGGTGAGAATGTCACAAGACTAGTGAGGGAGGGATAGTGGGCTGACAGTTTGGTGAGTTTGACCATGAGGGAGAGGGATGAAGGAATGGATCCAGACAGCTGGTTGTGACTCATGTCCCTGTGGCACAGTAGGCATTGCAGGCAAGGCATGGCATGGCATGGCGCGGCATGGCACGGCATGGTAGCAGGTAGTCACATTGGCAACGAAGGGAGTAGAAAGTACAACTCGCTTTATCAAACAGAGGAGAAGCAGGAGCTTGCAAATCAACCGCAACTCAAGTAGAAGAGAAAGAACTTGATTGGATACAGCGCATCCCCACACACCCATACTCCAATCATTCCCCTCTCAGCTACCATGTGGCTCTATGCACTATCTTCTCAGATACACCGGTGAAGGCGCCAATAGCTTGAGTCACTCGAGGAGGATTCAAAAAGAATCCAACAAGGAATTAGAGGAACTAAAATTGACGACACAAATGAGGATTCTACGGGAGTGCACACACTCACAGGTGAGATGTTTTGGTTAGCATGGCGATAAGCGGCTCTGGGATTGAGCCCAAGAGAAGGTTGGACGACAGGCCCCTAAATGGGGGAATGGGTGCAGTGCGGTGGTGAGGCGTGAGTGATTGGAAGGGAGGAATCACATTGATTGTGAGCGATGACTGTGGAAGAGAGGTAGAAGAATGTTTTGGGATGGGTTGGGATGAGATGGGGAGTGATTGACTGGATGGAGTGTGGCAGAGCAAGATGTCTTGGCATGGGATGGGATGGAGACTGACACAGTGACACACGAACACATGCTGACAGGGAGCCACATTCAAACTACCGCATACGGACGGGGTGCATACGCTACCACAT